GCAGTGTGAGCGAGGCAGATTGGGACCCAGGGACAGACCCCCACACCCGTGGGGCTGCGTGATTGGCCGTGCTGTGTGAGGCCTGGGGATACACACGCAGAGCCGGCCCTCACACGGCGATGAGGAGCACTCTCGGCCGAGGCCAGCTCACAGCCCTGCGTGGTCTCCGGCACCGAGACACACGTCCAGCGGCATCGCTGGCTGCCACATGCCAAGGCCAATGGTCAGGACAGTCCCAAAGAACAGAGAGGGCCCTCGCCTTACATGTGGCCGACCCAGTTTGACCCCTGGCATCCCTCGTGGTTCCCAAGCACTGGTGATTTCGGGCCCAGAGCCTGGAGTAAGCCCTGAGCATCACAGGGTGTGGCACAAGAACCAAAAAATGCCCCCAGGTGGGGCTATTTGAACAGGGCTTTAAGGAGTGTGCAGGAGCCTGGGAGTGGGGGTGGGGAGAGGGGGGAAGGCTTTGCAAACAGAGGAACAGAGGGAGAGTTCAGCGGGAGAAGCATTTCCATAACAATAAGCACTTAGGCTGGTTCCCGAAACCAACTCCTCACCTAGCCCAGGGGGGCGCCTCCCTGCCCCTGGAAGGGTGTGGTACTCAGGGCTGGCGATCTCCCAGGAGGGCAAAATGGACAGGATTCTTAGGAAAGCCCAGCTTGGCCTGAGTGGGGGCAGGCGCGTGCAGGGTCCCAGGGAACAGAGGGAGGGGCCGCAGGGGGCGGCCTGGTGGCCCTCCGTGTCCAGCTCAGGGGAAGGTGGCAGGCTTGGGGGTGGGCACGGACATGATGGAGGGGCTGGGCTGGGCTGGGCTAGTGCCCCAGAGGACCCAGCCTTCGGGCAGGGCCCAGGGGCCTGACCAGGCAAGACTGCAGGGCCCAGGGGCGCCCATCCGACAGCGTCCTGGGGCCAGGGGCGGGACAGGGGGCTACCAGTGCCGGGGCAAAGGTCAGCCTACCTGTCTCAGGATTGGGCCCCATCACAGATGGCAGAGGCCACGCCCGGTGTCCCAGCCTCACCCCACCAGTTCCCGGGGGCCTCCCTGGCTCCCTCTCCAGGCTCCTGACCCTCCCTCAGAGGGGTAGAGAGCAGGGACTCTGGTCCCTGGAACCACACGCCCCTCCCCACCAGCCTCTGTTGGTGGGGGGGGACCAGACACAGCACAGAGGGGAGGGTGCTCGCCTTGTGTGCGCTGACCTGGGCTTGATTCCCCAGAGGGTCTCGGGCCCGCCAGGAATGGTCCCTGCGTGAGTCCTGAGTCCTGAGCACCGCAGGGTGTGCCCCCCCAAATCAAATAAATCCAAGAGGAGCCGCGCAGAGACAGGAGGGCGGGCACTGCTGACGCGGAGCGTATCCCCCCGGGACCCCAGTCAGCCCTGAGCACCGCCGGTGTCTGCTGGCCACTTGCAGAGGGACAGGCCAGGGAGGGACACTCCGCGGGGTAGCAATGCGGCAAGGCGCGTGTGCGGCCGATGGCACCCGGCCAACACTCCGAGGCCCCCCCAGCTCTGCCTGTGGAGAATCCTCAGTTATCCGGGGAGGGGGGTGGCGAGGGGAGCTCCTGAGTGCCGAGCGCTGGCAGGGCCCCACGGCACATTTGGCCAGTCTGCGATCACAGCGGCTGGCGTGTCGCCGGAACACACTGAACTTTCCTCCCTCCGTGCCTCCGCTCCAGTGGTTCTCTGCCAAGAGCCGCCTCCCACTCACCGGCCGGGGACTCTCCCCCGCGCGGGCCCCTCCCTGGAGACCCCAGGGACCGGCCTCCCGGGGCGGACGGTGGGCTCCCGAAACAGCCCTCAGAGGCCGCAGGGAGAGTCGGCCGGATGACGCGCACAGACTCGCGTGCACGGGCGCATTTTAAATAACTCTTTCCCCAGATGCCGCGTTCCAACAGGGAAGAGTTTCACGGAGCCGAGATAAGTTTGTAAGAGGAACCTGATCCAGAAGGAGGGGGAAGGCGGTCACGCGGCAGCCTGGGGAAGCCGGCACAGCGAGATCAGCACGGGAGGCCGCTCGCCTGGCTTGTGGACTGCACCAAGCGAGGAAGGGAGCCTGCACTGAGGGCAGTCAGCTGACAGCCGCCAGGCCCCGCAGTGCCGTCCTCAACTGCGGGAGGGGGCCGCCCGGAGAGATGACGACGACGCTTGCTCTCCTATCTTGGGAACCCTGAGGAGTGACGAGGGCTGGGCCAGGGGAAGGGCAGAAGACTGCGTGGGGGAGGTGTCCCAACAGAGCATGTGCTCTGGATGACCCAAGAGGTGGTCCCTGTGGTGGGCACACAGTGAGGGGCGAGGGGGAGGGTGACCAGCGCAGTGGCCTGGCTAGCACCACCACAGGCAGCACTCCACTTCTGGGTGGCATGTCCATGGGGCCTGGCCCGGCCACTCCAGAGCCAGCCGTGGCCAGAACAAACCTCCTTCCCCATCTCCCGCGTGAGGAAAGTCCCCAGATCCTGGCACAGGGAAGAGCTGGTGCGAGAGGGTGCATCATCCCGGGCTGGTTCCCCCAGCCTCCCTGTAGCCCTCGGCAGCCCCTGGACACGGGGCAGTGTCCCTGCTCACACCACCCTGCCCTGCTTCCGCTCAGCTAGTGCAGTCGTGCCCTTGGGTTGGAGTAAGTGTGATGGACTGACTTTCCATCAGATACGGGACGGGGCTGCCTGTCTCCCGCAGGAACTACCCTAAAGACCCCGGGTCCTTTGCTCCTGCGAGACGACTGCCCCTGATCCTTCTGGGCCCCACTCTGAGCCGGGATCATCTCTGCCACCGCCGGCCAATCTCCGTTAGTCCTGCTCACACCAAAGGCGGCGGAACAGTTTGGGAGCCAAGGAAAAGGGGGGTTCTTAAGGCCAGAAACTTGGGAGGATGCCTCGGGAGAAGGGGGGGAGGGAGGATACTGGGAACGTCTTGTGACAGGCTTGGCAGGTCCGGGTGACAGCGGCCAGGGTCGCATCCACCAGAGGCGCCCACGTTCCCGGAAGCAGCATGACTGCGGAGCCGGCTGAGCCCAGGAGACACGTGTCTGAGCTGCAAGGCCAGTGCCCAGCTGGGCAGAACTTCGCAAAGCCCTTTGAGGGGTCCCGCCATGTCCCCCTCTGCAGCTGCGCCCGCCCCGTGCCGACCCCGGCCCTACCTGATAGCGACAACGGGGGTTCGGGGCTCGGCCAGGGACAGGCGGGCTGGGACGCCCAGCCCCGCCTCCTGCTGCCGCCTGACGTGGGCAGCGCTGATGGGGCGCCCGGCCTGGGGGTGCTTTTGTGTGCACGCAGCCACAGCCGGCAGCTGGTGGTGCGCAGGGCCAAAGAACCGGCCTGACTGCCCCGGCCCTTCCTGTCCCTGGGAATCCAGCAGAGCAGCACCAGGAACTTGGGCGCCCCGCCCCCGCAGGCCAGAGCTAGCGCAGGGGAGAGGGGGAGAGGGCGCCTTCACGGCCACGCCCATCCCCAGCAGTGCACTCAGCCGCAGGCAGGCACCCCGTTCTGTCCCCAGGCGTTTCGTGCCGCCTGAAACCGGGTCCCTTCCTGTCCCATATCTCTTATCGGGGGTCAACGGGCCAGCGTCCAGCTCCCCGTGGGCACACGGGTGGGCCCCCAGGGCACTCCCTCCTCAGACCACAGCTGGAGCCAAGGCCAGTCTGAGGGCCAGCCTGCAGCGTCAGTCCCATGAGGACCAAGCTCACCCTCACAGATAAAGCCGCCCACTGTCCCCCAGAAAACTGGCACTCCACCCAGCTCCAGTGCAGACTGGAGTAAGCCCTGAGCACTGCTGGGTATAGTGCAAGAATTAACCAAAACGCACACACGTACACAAATAAAAGGACAACACAGGATTCAGCAAATATCCCCGTCAAATTTTAGTAGCACTCGGATGTCCGCGATTCTATTGCTCCCCAACCCCCGGAACGGAAACAGAAAGGATCTTCTGCTTTCCTGTGACTCAGTTTCCCCAAGTCTCTGAGCCAGGGGACACTGTGGTAGTGGGGACTGAACACGGGTGGCCAAGTGCAAGACACGCGTGCTCCTGCTGTCCTCTCTGGCCGGCCCCACCTCAGGGACAAGGCACTGATACCAGGCAACAGAGCTTCAGAGACCTGCAGGATCCGGGGCGTGGGATGGCGAAGACAGAGGACGCGGGTGTTTGTGTATTATTTGTATATTTGACTTCGCTTCTGATCGTCGAGGGCCTGGCTCAGGGGCTGGGGCTTGTGTGCTGCGCACAGGAGCCTGGTTCCGTCCCCAGCACCCCAGAACACAGTTCCCAAGCAGCACCAGAGGTGTCTGTTCAGGAGGAACGCTCCCCACGGGGCCAGCTACCCCTCAACCAGTGTGGAGCCCTGGGAAGAGCCAGGGCAGTCCACTTGGACAGTCTGACAGTGATGGGGCTGACCAGCAGGTGGCATCAAGCATCCTGGATGCAGAGCGGAGGCACCTGGAGCAGGAGAGGGTGAGGGGCTCCATGGTGGTCCCCGGCGCCCTCAGCCCCTGCAGTGAGGTGCAGCGGCCTGTCCGATGGCCTGCCTGGGTCCAGACCCTGCTCCAGGATCTGGCACACTCTGTCCTTTGTCTGTTGCCGGCGTGTCTGCCTTCCAGCAAGAGAAATACTGTCCGGAACACACCCTCACTCATGGCCAGGAATCGTTCCCGGAGTCTCTTTTCCACGGAATCTGTTACCGAGTCTCTTTGGATGGCCCCAGTAAAGAGCCCAGTTGCGGGGAGAGCAGCGTCCAGGCGTCTTTCCTGTGTCAGGTGAGCCAAGGGGGCCAGAAGCGGTGAGCGGAGGACCCGGGAGACAGAGGCAAGAGCGCCGAGAGGGCGACGGCGGCCCAGGGGCGTCTGGGAAGCAGAGGGCACCCTGCCGGTGGCTGAGTCTGTCTCAGGATCGAGCGTCCGGGAGCTGCAGGCTCGCTTTCTGGAGAGCACAGGCAGTGGCGAGCAGGCGGTCTGGAGCCCTCCGGGGAGTTCTTCCTGCGCTCTCAGGCCCGCAAAGCCAGACCCCGGGCAAAACCGTACGCGCTCTGCCAGGCCAGAGCAAAGCGTCCCACCAACCCCGATCCGGACGAACGGTAACTCTCAAACTTTCCAAGAAGTTTCTTTCCAAATAATTTATTAGTTGGAACCCATGGGCAGAGCCGGAGGGCCTCGAGGCCAGCGCCAAGCAAAGGAGGCAGCAGACGGAAGTCCCGGCACGAGGCTCAGGCGCGCGGCTCCGCGTCCTCGACGAGCGAGAGCTGCAGCACGGGGAGCAGCAGCTGGAAGGCGTCCTGGACGTAGGAGGCGCTGTTGGAGGCCTGCGGACAGGGGCAAGGGCGGCACCGGCTGCTCAGGGGAGGGACAGGAGACCCGGGGAAGAGGGGGCTGTTGCAGGGGGCCCCCGAGGGAAGGCGCGGGCACTCGGAGCAGCCTGGTCCCGGGTTCCGCAGGTAGCCTTCTCCCGGGGTGGGACCCGGAAGGTCCTGTGGCCTGAGCACCGCAGGCTCTTCACAGAAGCCCTGAGGTTGCCAGACTGCTGCCCACCTGAGAGTGGGCCTCCGGCAGAGTCCCAACAGAGAACTGGTGACAACTCAAAGGGCCGCCTGCAAGCTTGGCACGCGGAAGGCCCAGGACCCAGGTCCATCTGGCACTGGGAGTAGCCCCTGAGCACCACCAGGTGTGGCTTCAAAACACCACCACGGGGGCTGGAGCGATAGCACAGCGGGTAGGGCGTCTGCCTTGCACGCGGCCAACCGGGGTTCAAGTCCCAGCATCCCATGTGGTCCCCTGAGCACCGCCAGGAGCGATTCCTGAGTGCATGAGCCAGGAGAGGCCCCTGTGCACCGCCGGGTATGACCCAAAAAGGGGAAAAACAAAAAGCAAAACAAGAGTCACCTCAAGGACAGAAGAACGTCCAGTCTGCAACCCCCAGAGTAACAAGGAGTGTGGCAGGCCCTCAGCCAGTAGTACCCCCCTCCGTCAGTGATGGGGGAGTCCCGAGACCTGGTGTCTGCCCAGGTGAGCGGCCTCCTCCCGGGGCAAAGCACAGCAAGGAATTCAAGGCATGTTTCTCTGGTGATGATTGTAAAAGCCTTTGAAATAGGCCAGTAGTCCTGAAACCAAGCCCACCCAGATTTAAAGGGTCCAGAGAGGTCACCCAGCACCCAGATGGTCTGCACAGCACAAGTACAGAGTTCTCACACCGGGGCCAGGGACCGTGCAAACATGACTGAAACAGACCCAGGGGCCCTGGCCCTCGCTCCTGTGGACTCAAGCTGCCCACTTCTTTAAAGCCACTGGACTGACCAGGATATAGACTCCCGGACAGTCCTTTGACAAGGCGAAGCGAGTTTCTGGCTTTGCGAGGAAAAGACAGGAAATGACAAACTGTTCCATCTTACTTGGTAACAGCTGTCAAACATGCTCTCCAGGGGTGGAGAGATAGCAGCGCAGGTAGGACCTGCAGTACCTACATCCCATATGGTCTCCTGCGCACCAGCCCAGGGTAATTCATGAGTGCAGAGCCAGGAGTGAGCCCTGAGCATCGCTGGCTGTGGTCCACGAACAAAACCAAAACTCATGTTCTGTAAAACCCTGAAAGCAAAGTCTGCTAGCCTGGCTCACTCTGGACAGCACTTTCTTACAGAGGTCAGATGCCAGCCCCAGGGACAGGACAGGCCAGCACTAGGTAGCCACTGCTCCATGCTCACCCCACCTAATCCATCCCACACTGCCACTGCACACCCAGTTCTATCTCCTGGCACTCACGGCCCAGCAGTCATCCTCATGGCACAAAAGCCAAAAGGCCAAAGACAGAGACTTCGGAAGGGATCTGACCTGGAGAATTCAGCCCCAGACTTACCTCCAGAAACACTGCAGTGATCAATGGGTTCAGGACGTCAGCCTTTTCTTCCACCTGGAGTCAAGGACACGGCCGAAGGGAAGGACAGTGGGTCAGGAAACAAGGTTGGAATAGGAGACCGTGTCAAAATATACCCGCATACGCACAGAGCCACACAGAATCATACATACCCACACAATCACACTCACGCAGAATCATACTCCAAGAATCACTCACACAGACTCACACACATTCACAAAGAATTGGTTACACAGAATTAGTCACACACATCACACACAGAATCACTCATACAGAATTACGGTAGGGCGTTTGCCTTACAAGCGGCCAACATGGCCTGTGTGAGTTCGATTCCTCCGCCCCTCTCGGAGAGCCCGGCAAGCTACCGAGAGTATCTCGCCCGCACGGCAGAGCCTGGCAAGCTCCCCGTGACATATTCGATATGCCAGACACAGTAACAACAAAGTCTCCAATGGAGACGTTACTGGGCCCGCTCGAGTAAATCGATGAACAACGGGAAGACCGTGACCGTGACACACAATCACACCCACACAGATTCACACACATAATCACTCACAGAATCACACACATAGAATCATACACATTCACACAGAATTACACCCCCAGAGTACTCGCACAGAATGACACACACAGAATGACACACAGATTCACACTCACAATCCACACAGAATCACAGACATAGAATCACACACTTTCACAGAATCACACTCCAGTCACTCACAAAATCACACACACAGAATCACATATTCACACAAAATCACTCGCAAAGAATCACACATATTCACTCACACAGAATGACACTCACAGAATAGATCTGAGAGTCACTCAGACAGAATCACTCGCAAACAACCACTCACGCACACTCACAGAATCAATCACAGATGCACAGATCACACTCACGCAGAAAACTTCCGTGGAGAAACCATCTGCCTAGCAAAAACCTATACCCTGAACCTAGAAAGAACTCTCACAACTCAGTGGTACTGAAAGGAATAAAAAAAACGGAAACAGATGACAAACAGCATAAATATTTGTAAAATAACAAAAACCAATCCAGCTAAGGACAAGCAAAGGTCTTGGAGGATGTTTCTCTCAAGACAAACAACTGGCCAACAAGCCCCTGAGGCACTCAACAGCATCACTGGCTGTGGGAGAGCTGCGCACCAGGCCACAGGGACACGCGAAAAGGTGTGCCGGGGGTGACGGCGCAGGCCTGTGGCCACACGGGCACCCCCTCACGCCTGGCCTGCCCTGGGACCCCCACACGGGCAGCAGGTGAGGGGGCGCAGGCCACGAGCAGGGCCCACGGGGGCAACCGAGCCCCCGCACAGGGAGCGAGGGCTCGGGAGCGGGCGGCTGGGCGTGAGAGAAAGCTCCTCCCTCCTGCGTGCTCCCACCTAGAGGAAACATCCCGAAGAGGCAGGTGGACCAGGGCGGCCGAGGGCCAAGAGTGCAGAGAGGGAAAGAAGGGTGACAGCTGACAGGATGATCTAAATTTAGATGGCGGGGAGGGGGTGCCAATCTCTACCGAGCCCCGAGTGAGGCATCTGCAGCGGGCCAGCTCTGGGCTCGGGGCTGTTTCCGACAAGCTGCATCCTTACCCCTGCAGCCGTCAGGCAGGTGGAGAACTCCTTGGACAGCGAGGACAGCTCCTTGCACAGGACGACCGTCAGCCTGGGGAGAGGGCACAGGTCAGGGGCACCCAGTGTGCCTCTCGCGCTTGCTTCTGGCCTGATAGCTGCACAGAGCCGTGGCCAGAGGAAACCCAACCCCGCTGGTACTAACTGTGACCGGAGGAGGCCATCAGGGGAGCGAGCAGCCTGAGCCGTCCCCTGTTCCCCGCGGCGGCAGCATGGGACCACCCGCAGACACCAGCTGGCACGCACGCGGGAGAGACGGCACTGTGTGAAATATGGGGACCGGCTACGGCACTCTGGCCTCTGAGAGACAGCGGGGTCCTCAAAAGATCCTATTCCACGTACAACAGAAATGAAAAGACCGACATTCGCTCACTGAACAGCTTCCAAGGTCTCCTCTGCGCCCGGCAGAGCGGATCCAGGTACGGGGTCAGCGAGGGTCAGGTCCTGCTCTAAAGTCCTCAGCGACTGAGCAGAGTCCAGCTGTCTGGACACATCCCTGCCCTGCCACACACACACGCCGGGGTGTGAAATGCACAAGGATGGAGGGAGCACGCGTGGACACACGTGGACACGTGTGGACAGACACGGGGACTCGGCCGCGACACAGCCGCACGGGCACCAGTGCTCACCCACGCTCAGGAGCCTGGCTGGCACGGTGGGCGAAGAAAAGCATCAGCGTCCAGGGGAGAGGACACGGGACCCACTGCCCACGGGGAACCTGAACTCAGGAGGCAGGCAGGCAGGCGGGCAAGCGCGGGAGCAGCCGGGGCTGGACTGGGACCACTCCCAGCACCAGGACCCCTGCGAGCCGTGAGGAGCTACGCACAGCTCGGGTAGGTGGCTGGGACTCACCAACCCTGACCCTGGGACTCAATCCTTCCCCTGGGAGCTCTCACTGACTTGGGTTTAATTAGAGAGTTGTATGTCTCCTCACTCCCCCGTCCCTCCAACTATACTGTTATTTCAGTTAAAAAAAAAAACCCTTCTGGGACTTAGTCCTGGCTTTTAGCCCCATATGCATGCCCAGGCGGTTACCTCTCTGCGTGCCTCATCTGTAGAGCTGGCTGACACCAGTGTCAAATGAGCACCGACCGACAAAGGCACGCTCACAGCAGCGCCTTACGCTACTCCTAAGGAACCTGGGCCTCGGGCTGGCAGCAGCTCAACAGCCGAAGGAGTCATGCAGGGCTGAGCCCCAGCACTGCATGGTGTGGCCCCAAAAACTCAGAGAAGAACTGTTTCACTAACGATAAATGTGGTTCCTTTTAAGGCGGGAATCCAAGAAGAACTGGTGTCCGCAGCACAGGCCAGTCAGGAAGAAAGGCTGAAGGCTGGCCGAGGAGAAACCAGGCCCTTCGCGCTCAGCCACCCGCACCCAGAACGAACAGGCCTCTACACCGCGGAGAGCCGAGAGCCTAGAGAGAAGACAATAGGGCGGAGGAGACACACGTCACTTACTGGGACAGGGCTTTGCTCCTTTCGAGGGCGGTGACTTCCTGCTTCCCACCGTGCAGAACCAGAGCGGCCGTCTTGTGGAACAGTTCAATGGAGCAGGCCGTCAGCTCCGCAAGGCTCCGGATGGCAAAGGCATGAATGTCCTGGCCGGAAAAGACAAAAGCAGCATCAGGAAACCAGGCACTGGGCTTTCACCCGGGATGCCCCCTCCTCGCTTCTCTCCTGTGGAGGGCTGCAGGCACACCCAGGTTCCCTGCAGGCAGGCGGGCAGCTTCACCTCCCACAGCAGTCACGCCACACAGACTCACACGCCACACCGATACGTACAGATCCACAGGCACGGGGACACAGAGCACTCGTACAAACATGCATAGACACACACAGACAGAGACATACATACAGACACATACATACAGACACAGGCATGTAGACACAGACACCACAAGCACACACACACACACACACACACACACACACACACACACAGAAACGCTTGCTGCTCTGGTTACCTCTATGGACACTGCAGGAGTCTGCTCCGTCTTCTCTGTCTCTGGCTGTCTTTCTCCTCCCTCCTCAGCTGGTGCTGGGGCCCGAGGCATCCTGACCCACTCGCAGGCCGTGTTTCTCGCCTACACCAGATGGACGAGAGCCCCTCAGCAGGTGACTGTGCCTTGCGAGCCTCAGGGGAGCACCCAGTACTCAGTCTTCCTGCTGTCCCTCTGCTGCCCAGCGCTGAGCTGACCACTGATGCCCCCACTTGCTCCCTCCTCAATCCTCTGGTCCTCTGGCCCGTGCAGAGTTCACAGGTGTGTGCAACACACACACGTTCATAGCGTGTCTCAGGAATGCTGACACATGCATGCTGGGTATAGGAAAAGCCAGAAATCGATTTATCCAGATCAGAAAAGAAAACTGGCCTGAGAGAAGGTCAGAGAAAAGAGAACGAAAACTGTGTCTAATACAGAAGAAAAGTGTGTGGAAACCTCAGGCTCAGCTACTCCTTAAGCAAAACCCGAGGGAACCAGCCGAGCCCGTGAACAAGTGAACGAGCCCATCTCTCTCCACGCAAGCTCCACGGCCCACAGAAAGCGCCGTGGAGACAGTCACTGAACCGCCAGGGAAAGTGCCTTACTATGTGACTTGGCCCACAGAAGCCACAGAAGTCACGCAGAGTCACCAGCACCTCACAGCAAAAGCATTCCTCGACACCGACTGTCGGGGACGGGGCCTCGTGGGGAGGGCACAGCCTTGATGCAGCCGAGCCGGGGTCAAGCCCTGACACCCCACTTGGTCCCCCAAGCTCTACCGAGTGAGCCCTAAGCACCCCTCGGGTGTGGTCCCTCACTAGCTGCACGGTGAGTCAGCCAAGGACTCACCCGATCCCTATCTCATAGGCGGGGAAACAGAGGCACAGAGGAAGGGGGAAAGCTGGGAGATTAAGAACCCGCCAAATCCTAACACAGCCTTGAGAAATGGGCGACTCAGAGAGGTGAAATCCCACTCACCACCCCCACCCGTGAGAAGTCTGAGAAAACAGGCCCAGGCAGCACAGCCCCAAAGGAGGGGACAGCCGCACGCCGGCAGAGCTTACCCTGGTGAGCTTCTCTGGTCTGGAGGAGACGCGCAGCTGGGAAAACAGCTCTGTCACCTCGCGGGTAAAGTCCTCGTCCCCTAGGACACAGAGAACCACATCAAGGACGACCCGAGGGCCGGGGATGTTGCAGACCGGGGAGAGGCCGGTTCCAGGCACCAGATGGGCCAGTCGGGGGCGACTACCCACCACTGCGTTGAGCCATCGGTCAAAGGTCAGAACAATTTTTCAAAAAGCCAAGTCACATTTCAGTTTCATGACACAGAGGCTGATGCAGGGACTTCCCAAAGGGGCTCTGGGAACCCGAGGACCTACAGACCACACCTGGGGGCACAGAACCCGAGGATCTACAGATCACACCGGGGGGCACTGCCGTGGACGGAGGGCGGCTCCACGTGTCCTGAGGGACCCAGAGGGACTCATCTATTGGAATGCTTTCTCACACACGTGTACACATGCAAGCACACACACACACATGGACACACGTGCACATACAGTATGCACATATACAGCATGCACATGTGCACATGTATACACATGTTATCACATACAAACACACACACACACACACACACACACCCCAGTAAGTACATTTTTTTTTTGCTTTTCGGGTCACACACAGTGGTGCACAGGGGTTACTCTCCTGGCGGTGCTCAGGGGACCCTATGGAATGCTGGGAATCAAATCCGGGTTGGCCACGTGCAAGGCAAACGCCCTACCCACTGTACTATCGGTCCAGCCCCTCCAGTAAATTCAAATATTTCCAGCAAAAATATTAAGGTAAAACAATTCAAATTTAAAATTCATTTCCCTTCAGTGACTCTTCACTTCCCGACTTGCAGCCTGACTGCCTCCCCACTCTTGGCCCGCACCAGAGGCTTCTGATGACATCGTGACGCAGGAATAATCCTGTACTCACATACTTGTTTTTTGGTTTTTTGTTTGTTTTTTCGCTTTTTGGGTCACACCCAGCGATGCTCAGGGGTTCCTCCTGGCTCTGCACTCAGAAATTTCTCCTGGTGGTGCTTGGGGGATCATATGGGATGCTGGGGATCGAACCTGGGTCGGCCGTGTGCAAGGCAAATGCCTTCCCCGCTGTGCAATAGCTCCGGCCCCTACTCACATACTTGGAAGGCACAGAGAGAACGCAGCTTAAACGATCTCATCACAAGGAAAAAACTTTAATAAAAAATGAAAAAAAGAGGACCTGAGCAATAGCACAGGGGGACGTCACCTGCCTTGCACGCGGCCAACTCAGGTTTTATCTTGGACTCCATAGGGCTCCCTGAGCACCGCCAGGAGTGACCCCTGAGTGCAGAGCTAGAGGTCACCCTTCAGCACAACCGGGCGTGACCCAAAACAAAACAAACAGAAGACAAGTGTGGCCCCTCTCTGACGACCACAGGCAGAAGGGAGTGGACACCTGTGGAAACACAGGCGTCTGGGCCGGCAGGACACGCGGGACCCTGGCCAAGCGCACAGCAGGGGTCAGGCGTCTGGCCGCAGCGCATGGCGGGGGCCCGGGTGGTGCTGGTCTGTCTGACCTTTCCGCTCTTCTTCCTCATCCTCGCAGAAGTCCGCCAGGGAAAACGCTTCCTTGAGTCGCTCTAACTCAAGCTTCAGAGCCTCCGACTCCTCGCCACGCAGAGAATTCAGGGTAGATTTCACCTAGACGGACAGGACACCACAGTGCGATGCAGGGACGGAGGACAAAAGAGCCGTACTCGATGGGGCCCCGCCAGGGGTGATCCCGGAGCGGAGAGCCAGGAAGGAGTCCTGAGCGCCACTGGGGTGGCCCCAAACAAAACCTCGCCGTCCCCAACACCACGCCGAGCCAGGAGGGTCTGGCTCCAATCACCTTCACTTCGCTCTCCCGGGAAAGCATCTCCAGGGCTTCCAGATGCGAAAGGCCCTGGAACTCATCGAAGAGAAGCCCGTAGTGAGTTCTCCTGTCCGTGTCCACGCCGACCTCCCCAGCCGGCCGGAGCTCTTCATTCTCCTTCGCCTCCCGGAGCACCTGACAGCGAGAAGGAAGAGTCGGGAACAGCAAGGAACGAGGGCCCAGGGGCTTGGGCCAGGCCTGCGAACAGTCGGGGCACTGTCCTTCAAGCTGGGCACCAGGACCTCAATAAGGAGGTCAGAGCCCTGGTCCTAGACCAGGGCCAGGAGGGGCCAGGAGGGGGGGCACCTCTCTGAAGCAAGCAGGCAGCGGCCAAGAGGGGATCTGGCACCCCGGGCTGTGCTGACCGCAGCTCTACAGGAAGGAAAGAGGCAGCACACAGGAACCTGAAGCCTTAAGGCTGCCACTGCCACAGGAGACAACGCGGAACCAAGGAGACCCCTACCCACATCACTGACGACCCCAGACCCCGACCCACGACATGACCATCCCAGACCTCTACCCACATCACTGATGACCCCAGACGCCTACCCACATCACTGATGACCCCGGACCCCGACCCACGACACTGACCACCCCAGACCCCTACCCACATGACTGACAAACCCAGACCCCGACCCACGACACTGACCATCCCAGACCCCTACTCACATCACTGACGACCCCAGACCCTGACCCATGACACTGACCATCCTAGATCCCTACCTACAACACGGACCATCCCACTGGAGGGTCCCAAGTAACGGGAAGCAAACATGAAGGACAGAACCGGGATCGTGCAGTGAAGCATACCCGAGCATGTAGGCAGCCGGTGCCACCCCCACAAGCCATGGTCCCCAAGCATCACGGGGTGCAGCCCTGGAGCCCCGAGCACCTCCTAGAGCGGGAGGGCTGGAAAACACCACGCCCTCCGGCCCTACACTGACAGAACCACCGGCTGAGATGACCGAGACCAGTGGGAATGGTCCTGAGGGGTGTCCATCCCCTGACCCCACCTCCACGATGGAGAGATCAAGGCAGACACAGGCACCTGCGACAGTGTGGAGCTACGGTACATCAGGCCCTTGGTTCTCCGAAAGCCAGGGTCCCCTTCAGCGATGACATCCATGGTCTTCTTCCCAATGAACTCCAGGGCGTCCAAACCCCCACTGATGACGCTCTTCCCCTGTCGGAAACACGCAGCCTCGTCAGCACTGCAGGGACGCAGTGGCGTACTGCGACACAGAAGAGCAGGGCTTAACCAGGCCAGGGACAGGCAGGGTCGGGAGCAGCTGAAACAGTCACCCGCTGCTCGGGGACATGAAAGAAAAGAAGGGACGGGGCCAGAGCAAGAGCACAGAGGGCACTCGCCTTGCACGGCCCACCAGGGCTCAATCCCCAGCATCCAACATGGCCCCCCAGCACCGCCACCAAGTGGCCCCTGAATGAAGAGGGAGGAGTAAGCCGAGCACCGCCAGGTGTGGCCCAAAAATGAAAAAAAAAGGAGAAACAAGAAAAGAAAAAGAAAAACCAGAAGGCAGAAGTGCTGTGGGAAACAGACACTCCTGAGCACGCCGTGTCTCCCTGCCGGCTCCACACTCGGGCTGGAGCATCACAGGCGAGAACACGTGAGGGCGGCGTTTGGCACGGCACGATGGAAGGTCACGCCGTGGAACATCACAGAGAACACGTCGCACCCCCAACCAACAAACCTGCGCAGGAGGGGCCCGAGACAGAGCGGGAGTCACTCCGACGGCACGAGGCACCAGGACGGCAGAGGTGGGCAGAGGCGACGTGGGAGGGTCCCGGCAGTGAGCACCCGCTCACAGCCCACCTCCCCACCTGCATGCCCTACTCAGGAACTGAAGCGGCAAGCGCAAGTCATCCTCCACATGGGGGGCTTCCGAAAACTGTCTTTGGGCCACACCTGGCGATGCTCAGGGCTTACTCCTGCCTCTGCACTCAGGGATCACGCCTGGTGGGCTCGGGGGCCACATGGGGAGCCGGGGGCTGAACCCAGGTCAGCAGCAAGGCAAGTGCCCCTGCACGATCGCTGCACTGTCACACTGGATCAAAACACCAGAGTTTATTTATTTTTAATTTTTTAATAACATCACAGTTTAAAAGTGCTCCTATTCATCTAGAGCTCTACGGGTATCAGAGACGACACTGATGCTCCCTCCACCCAAGAGATGAAGAGGTGGCGGCCCCGAAGCAGGAATGTGCTCGGACCACTGCCTTAGGGGTTCCCGGCCCAGACTGCTCTAGTCCACCTCATGCCCCGCTCAGCCCTTCACGGTGTCCAAGAAACCCAGGAGTGTCCCCTCCCCCATGGAGGGTGGAGTGTCAAGCCGGGGCGGACACTCACCGTGCTCTGGACGGCGGTGGAGATGGTGGAGAACATGCCCAGAGGTCCAGCGGGGGAGGAGCTTTCGTTCTCTTTGGCATCCGAACCACCTACGGGAGGGAAAAGCGAAATGAAGAGGCGCCGCCAGAGTCTTGATCGATGAGGATCTACAGAAATTGGATCTACAGGAAATTTTTCTTTTTTTTTTTAGGCCACATTGGGCAGCGGTCAGGTCTTACTCCTGGCTCTGAGCTCAGGAATCACTCCTTCGGGGCTTGGGACTGAACCCTGTTGGCTGCAGGCAAGGCGAGGGTCCGACCTGCCATACTGTTACTCTGGCCTGGATCTGCACCAAGTTTCTCAGCGTGAGACCCTGCTTCCACAAACAGAGACTCAACCCTTTTTATTATTTTGCGCTATTTGCTTATTTAAAACCATTCAAATACTGGAACTGAGACAGGCAGCTTTTTGACATCATTTAGGCTCAAAAATGTCAGTAGCAGCACATGGGGACAGCACAGTGACATTAGTGATGCCAGACCACCCTCACCAGCCTCCTGTCTGCTGCAGCACGAAGATCTGAGCCCTGAGCCAGCCTGCAGAGAGATTTCCCTGTCTATAAGGACTGTAGGATGGGGAGAAAGGAGCACTTCCACCATGAGCACAGATGCACAAGAGGCGGTACTGCAGTGAGGGGTACCTGACATCCACTGGGCCACAGAGAACTGGCACCAAACTTGCTTCAATGAGCCACTCAGGCACCTGCAAACAGCCGCTCCTGGAGCACTCAAACAAGGGAAACGCTCTCACTCCCGCACCGTGCTCTGCCAGCGAACGAGGAACACGCTCCTACACCGTGCTCTGCCTGTGAACGAAGAAACGCTCCCACTCCTACACTGTGTTCTACTGCCCATGAACAAAGAAACGCTCTCACTCCTACTCCGTGTTCTGCTTGTGAACGAGGAAACACTCTCAACCCTACACTGTATTCTACTGCCTGTGAACGAGGAAACGCTCTCATTCCTACACCGTGTTCTGCCTGTAAATGAGGGAAACACTCTCACTCCTACACCGTGTTCTGCCTGTGAACGAAAAAATACCCTCACTCCTACACCGCGTTCTGCTCATGAACGAGGGAAACACTCTCACTTCTACATCGTGTTGACTGTGAACAAGAAAACACCCTCACTCCTACACCACGTTCTGCCTGTGAACGAGGAAACACGCTCACTCCTACACCGTGTTCTGACTGTGAACGAGGAACCACTCTCACTCCTACATGGTATTCTGCTCGTAGCCACAGAGGTCCTGACAGCCATCACAGGTCACAGCGTCCCCAACCCCCTCCGCCCGCACACACGAGAGTGTGCGGATTGGCATGGTGTCACCGTATCTCCTGCCTTCTGTGGGCCCAAGACACGAGACCCAGATCTCATCCTCTCCATGGGACACCTGGGCCAGACCCAGGACACGCTCAGTCAGTCTGGGTCTGTGAGCAGCAGGAGGCCGTACCCTGCCGAGAGCGGGAGGCGCAGAGCCAGGCTGTGGGCAGCTCCCTGAGCTCTGCTCTCCCAGCTCGGGCCGCCCCCGCTGCCCTAGAGCGGGTCCTCCTGGGTCAACACGGGCTCCAGAATGAAGCTTTCCCTCAGAAAGAAAGCAAACACAGTGACTAAAACGTTACGGTATTTTTTTATGCCACGACAGACGCAGGTCAAGCTAACTTGAACAGGGTCTTACTTCTCAGGGTTAAGAGTTGCAGACCACTTCCACAGTCCAATTTCAAGCACTTCTATTGAAGGTCTGTAAGAGTTCTTTGAGAAATAAAATATCCCACTTTGTAGGTGAGGAAGGGAAGGGAAGAGCTGCTCAGGACTAACTCCCATGCCTGCTGCTACAACTGCCCCACCGCGCCCCGGCATCGGGCAGCACCAGCAGACGTGCGTTTCCACCCTGAGCCCCAACCAACCCCGGGTCTCGTTTCCACACTGACCGGCTGCATGCTGGGCTTCAGCTGAGAAGTCACTGGGACTAGGGATCCCCAGGGAAGTCTCTGCCTTCTCGATGACACTGGAAATACCTTGTCCTAGAGAAAAAGAACATGCTGACATTTGAATACCATCGCGATTATTTACCCAAACTGGGCAAAACAAGACCAGATTCAAACCTGCCGATCTGAAAAATCATTTCAGCTTTCATTTTGACCATCTGTAACCAATCTTTGGGACAGCATCCTTATCCAGAATTCTCAACAAAGAATTTTCAATAAAGTTTCAGCTTATCAAGTTCAAGGCACAGGGAGTTGGCTCAAGTGAGAGCACAGGCTAGCAAACATGAGACCTTAAGTTCAAGCCTTGTATCACGTGACTCAGGTCACTGTCAGAAGCGGTCCCCACAAAAGAAATACAAATTGTACCAGAGAGAGAGAGTACAGCAGGGAGGACGCTTGCCTTGCATGCACCAGAGCCGTGTTTAACCCCCAGCTCCAAAGAGGAGCCCCTGAGCACACAAGGAGTGATCCCTGAGTGCAGAGCCAGGGTTAAGCCCTCAGCACTGCCAGGTGTGGCCTCCAAACAACAACAACAAAAGTTTTCTGAAGGAACAATTCCCAAACATGCATGTTCTCACAAGGAAATGCTGTCACCTCCAAGGCTAATCAAACTACAAAAATGGAGTTTGACGTTAAGCTATTGTCAAACTACAGAGCCTTGAGCTCTGAGTGAACGAGGAAAACAGATCAGCCGAGTTGTTCCTAACACAGATCCCAGCATGTGTGCGCGCAAAAACACACACACACACACACACACACATATACACAGAAGTGAAGGAAGGCCTTACCTACTGTGGCTACAGTGGCGGAGGCTGAGGACAGTAAGGACTTGCCCCAGCTGCCCCAGTAGCCCCATCCAGTCTGGGGCGCGTCTCCGGATACACATTCCTACGTGCCCCAGCAGGCAGAGAGACAAACGAAATTAGGAACATCAGAGCAGACAGACACGGATATCCAGTTGTTAGGCAGAAGTATGGATGAACAGGGGCTGGAGGGAGGCACTGGCCCTGCCTGAAGACCCAGTGGCCGCAAGCCTGGTTCAGACCCCCAGTACCACACACGGTCCCTTGCGCACCACCAAGGGTTACTCCCAAGCAGAGCCAGGAAGAGCGGATGTGGCTCAAATCTCCTCCCCAAAACAACAAAGTACAGGTGGACAAACATGGTGTCATTTGGCTGGAGAAACGCGGTGCTCAGCTGAGGGCCATGTGCAGTCTGCAAGAGGCACTGTGTAGCCAGGCCCAGGGCGTCCCGAAGCTTCCCCTACGTCAGGAGCAGCACGGGCTCAGCGGGCACTGCTCCCTGGCCGCCTCAAGGTTTGGATGCCGTCTGTGCCCGCAGTACCTGAGCAGGGAGAGTGGCTGAAGCGCCGCCGTCACCGGGCGGCTTGGGCTCAGGTCTTTTCCGAGTGGAAACTCCAGGTTCTGATCTAGCCTGTGGCTCGGCCCCCTGGTCCACAGATACGAGATCCGCAGTGGGCTCCTGGTCTCCATCTTCACGGCCAGGGGTGGCTGCCGCCATCCCGACCGTCTCAACACCATCTCCGTCTGCCATGATTAGATCATGGCCTGCAAGAACAAAAGCCCAAGGAAAGCGGCTTGGACAGAGACTTCCGGGAAACGTAAACTCTCGCCTGAGAGGAGTGTCGCTTCTCACGCAGGTGTAGGAAACAACACTGAGGAAACTGGAACCACTGATGTGACTATGACACACAGCACATGTGCGGGATGGAGGACACAGCCCACTGCCCGCACTCTTCCACGGAACACGTGGTGTGCAAACGCATGCACCCCGCCCCCGCACAGCCCTCACACCCACATACACGCTTCACCTGCAACCCCACCTGCACACACCCCTCACCTACACAGCCCTCACCCACACACAGTTTCACCCCTACACACCTGCACACCCCACCTGCACACCCTCTCACCTGCACAGCCCCACTTGCGTACCCCCTCACACACACACACCTGCACATCCCACCTGCACACAGCCCTCACCTGCACAGCCCCACCTGCGTACCCCCTCACACACACACACCTGCACATCCCACCTGCACACAGCCCTCACCTGCATGGCGCTCCCCCACACACACCTGCACACACCCCTCACCTGCACAGCCCCCACCACACATCCCCACCCGCACACAGCTTCACCCCCACACGCCTGCACACCCCACCCCACCTGCATACCCCCTCACCTGCACGGCCCTCACCCACACACCCCTACACATCCAACCTGCACACACCCCTCACCTGCACGCCCCTCCCCTGCACAGCCCCCACCGCACACCCCCTCCCGCACGCAGCCTTACCCCCGCACACCTGCACACCCCACCTGCATACCCCTCCCCTGCACAGCCCTCACCCACACACACCCGCACACGCCCCTCCCCTGCACAGCCCCCACCGCACACCCCCACCCGCACGCAGCCTCATCCCCGCACACCTGCACACCCCACCCCACCTGCATACCCCCTCACCTGCACAGCCCTCACCCACACACACCCGCACACGCCCCTCCCCTGCACAGCCCCCACCGCACACCCCCTCCCGCACGCAGCCTCACCCCCGCACACCTGCACACCCCACCTGCATACCCCTCCCCTGCACAGCCCTCACCCACACACACCCGCACACGCCCCTCCCCTGCACAGCCCCCACCGCACACCCCCACCCGCACGCAGCCTCACCCCCGCACACCTGCACACCCCACCCCACCTGCATACCCCCTCACCTGCACGGCCCTCACCCACACACCCCTCACCTGCACGGCGCTCCCCCACACACACACGCACACCCCCTCCCCTGCACAGCCCCACAGCCCCACCCGCACACAGCCTCACCCCCACACACCTGCACACCCCACCTGCGTACCCCCTCACCTGCACAGCCCTCACCCGCACACGCCCCCCCCCGCACAGCCCCCACCGCACACCCCCTCCCGCACGCAGCCTCACCCCCGCACACCTGCACACGCCCCCACCCCCACCTCCCCCTGCACACACCCGTCCGCTCCCACGGCGCAGCCGGGGCCCTGCCGCCCCGCCCCGGGCAGGTCCCCGGAGGACACGGGCGCGAGAGGCAACAGCCGCGCCGCGGGGGGAAAAGGCGGACACGGACTCGCACTCGCGGGGCGCGGCGGGCTCAGCGCCGGCCCCCGGCCGCCCCCGGGCCCCCACGCGACGGGACGCCCCTCGCCCGGCCGCGCCCCCCGCCCCGCGTCCTCACCGCCGCCGCCGCCGCCGCCCGCCGCTCCCCGCCCCGGAAGTAGACCTTCAGCGGCGCCGCGCCCCGGAAGCAGTGCTTCCTCCGGGCCGCCCCCGCCGCGAGTCCTTCCGGGTCAGGAGCGCTCCGGGCGGAGACGGCGCCTCAGGTGAGCGCGGGCGGGGCGCTGCGGCGGGGGGCGGGGGTGGGGCGCGGGAGGGTCGGCGGGGCCCGCGGGGCGGACGCCCCCGCCTCAGCGCGCGCCCGCGACGGGCCTTGTGCGGGGACGGCGTCGCGCGCTGCGGCCCGCCAGGGGCTTCCCGGCCTTTGCTCGGAAGCGGCCGGGGTCCGGGACGGGGGCCCGGGGGCTCCTCAGGGGACACGGCCCGGGGGCTCTTCACAGGACACGGCTGAGGTGCTCTCACTCACACCCAGGGTGCTTCTCACGGACACAGCCTGGGTGCTCTTAATGGGGACACGGCCCAGGTGCTCCTCACTCGTAGCCTGGATGCTCCTCAGGGGACGCGGCTGGGGGCTCCTCACTCGCACCCGGGGTGCTCCTCACAGGACTCAGCCTGGGTGCTCCTCGTGGGACACGGCCCGGGTGCTCCTCACTCATAGCCCGGGTGCTCCTCAGGGGACACGGCCCGGGGGCTCCTCACGGGACACGGCTGAGGAGCTCCTCACTCACACCCAGGGTGCTCCTCACGGACACAGCCTGGGTGCTCTTAATGGGGATACGGCCCAGGTGCTCCTCACTCGTAGCCCGGGTGCTCCTCAGGGGACACGGCCGGGGGCTCCTCACGGGACACGGCTGAGGAGCTCCTCACTCGCGCCCGGGGTGCTCCTCACATTAGTTCTGCTGGTCTCAGCCTCTCCGCCCCGGAAGGCCGGACTCGGGCGGGTGACAGCCGGAGTCCCCACGGCCTTCCCTTGTCCGGCTCTGCCCGCTGCCGTCAGCCTGTCCGGCCCCTGGAGGCTGTTTGGCCCCTGCCGAGGGCGGTGGGCCCTGAATGAGCAGGGTTGGAAGCGCCGCCCGGCTCGGAGCGCAGCGCCCAGCGGCAGAACCCTTGTCACTGACGTCGGCGGAGGAAAGTTTGGCCAGAGGAGCGGAGCCAGGGTGTCAGGACCCGGGGCTGCGTCTTGAACGGCCTCCGTTTCTGTCGCCCGCTTGGACATCAAAGGCTGCAGGGGCCGCGTGGGTGGGGTGGCCTTCCTGCCTGCTGCGGGGAATATTCCCGCTGAGTTCATGAGCGTGGGGGGGCAGCGCTAGAGTCTGAAGGGATCTAAGTCCCCCGCCCCATCCGTTGTGTGTGCAGGAGCCAGGTGGGGCCCCCAAGGCTGGCCCAGCCCCTGGCCAGTTCCCCCCGTGCCCTGTAGGGCTTCTGCTCGCTGAGCTGAGCTGCTGCCCCGCATCTGTTTCCTTGCCTGCTGGCACATTCTATTCCCAGTTTCAATTTTGAAGGAATTCGAGGAAAGTTGTTTATATCGGAGACAAGGACGGACCTTCCGGAAGCAGAGCAGACCCTTCCCCATGCCCGCTTGTCCCTCTTGTCTCTTCTCCATCCCTGTTGTCCTTTCCCTTTGCTTCCCTGCGTCTCCCTCTGATTGCCCCGTGGTGTCTCGGTCCCACTCTGGGAACAAAGGTTCTCGGGAGTGTGGGTTGGATTCAGACTGGACCAAGTGGAAGGAACAGGGTGGGGGTCTCAGAGAGTAGGCTTGCTGGGTCCCACAGACCAGCGGGGCCTGGCAGGGCCGGGGTTCGGGTCTGCTCGAGGCCTGCCTGATTCTTCATATCGCAGAATCTTTTGACAGGGAGAGGAGAAAAGTCGGATCTGAAGGGTGGGTTTTCAGGTGATGCCCTAGTGAAGTGAAGGCCTCTCATCCATTCTTTTATCACAGATCATAGTCTTGCTTCGCGCTGTGGAGGAGCAGTTGGTGTCCCCTTGGAGGCACCAAGAGGAAGGTCACTCACAAATAGTCAGCGTCAGTCAGAGTTGAACCCTGACCGCTGGCCACAGAGCCTGCCTCACTGTTGCCTCGCCCTTCTCAGAGGTCATGGTCTGGGTCACACCCAGTATGGGTTGAGAGCTCTCCAGGGGCCCATTAGGGGGCGCTACTGAGCAGGAGATACTTGTGCTCAGTTCATAGGGCAGAGTTGGGCACCAATTTTTTTTGTTTTGGTGTGGTTTGGGTTTTTTTTTGGTTTGGTTTGGTTTGGTTTGGTTTGGTTTGCTTTTTGGGTCACACCTAGTGATGCTCAGGGGTTACTCCTGGTTCTGCACGCAGGAATTACTCCTGGCGGTGCTCGGGGTACTATATGGGATGCCCAGGATCAAACCCAGGTTGACCGCATGCAAGGCGGTCTCTTTTTGGATAAGTAGTAGTTTAAGATTTTGGGGTCAGGCTTGGCTCCCAGGACTTTCAGACTTTGAGGCCTCGGAGTTAATTAGCCACAACTCTCTTTGGCTCAAGTGCTAGTCTAACTGATCCCTGTTGTCCAATATTCTCCACATTCCAGAGATCCATCCTATCCTGATTTTCTCTTCACTTCCTCAATGAAAACTTGGTACGCACTTGCCCCGTTACAGAAAGGAGCAGTGAGAGATTAATCCCCTGCATGTGGGGTGCTCCCTACCTGGTCCTCGATGCATGAGATGGAGACGGGGGGCACTGGGGCAGGGGGAAGCAGCAGAGAGGCCGAGATAGTGCCGGACGCTGCTCGACCCACAGCCCCTGCGTTGCAGAGCAGCCTGAGGTGTTAGCAAGTGGTCCCCCCACTGTGACGAAGTCCAGCTGCTGGACCTGACACCCCTGCAGAATCAGGAGTCAGCCCCACTCCAGCCACCACAACTGGGGAGAATCTTCACCGTCCTAGCCAGCAACCCCTCGTGCCTTCCTGGAACTCGCCTCTTCCAATCTCCATCCCCATCCAGCCTCAAGCCCTGTGTACCCTGGCTCACTTTCTCAGGGCTCTGTGTCTGTGATGGCAGCCTCTATGGCACCTCAGCATATTGAATGTCTCTCCTGGCAGTCTGAGCACTATGGAGGCGAGCCAGTCTCTGGGTAAAGACGTTAGAACTTGTGGTGAGTGAGCGTAGATGCGACTCTCTTCCCTTCGTCTCACGTCCCATGGGAAGAGCAGGGGAGGAAGTCAGAACCTGGGTAGCTTTGGGGAACTTTTGGTACTTTGCACTGTGAACGTAGGAAAAATAGAAATGAATGGAATTTGGGGATTATGGGCCTGAAGAAAGCCAAGGGAAACTCACCTGGAAGTCCAGGGGGTATGCAGTGCTCTCTCTGACTCCCAGCCAGTCACTGGTCCAGCATGAAGGGCGATCATATGTGCCACTGTGCAGGTGTGCGGGCAGGGAGAACATAGGTAGGCACATCGTACCACTCTCGCCCCAAGCCTGGCTCGGCATTGGAGGAGATCCCAAAGCCCCCTCAGGCCCTGCCCCCAGAGAGCCCAGAGTGTCCACTGCGCACAGTCCTGAGAACAATATGTGCCTGTGTTTCTGAGACTCCTTCATTCTAGGCTGCTCCCTTACTAGAGGCATTTTATTTATTTTATTTTATTTTATTTTTTGCTTTTTGGGTCACACCTGGTGATGCACAGGGGTTACTCCTGGCTCTGCACTCAGGAGTTACTCCTGGTGATGCTCAGGGGACCATATGGGATGCTGGGAATCGAACCCGGGTCGGCCACGTGCAAGGCAAACGCCCTACCCGCTGTGCTATTGCTCTAGCCCCACTAGAGGCATTTTACCACCGGAAATAGGGATGGGGAAGAAATGAAAATAAAAACATAGCACAGCGGTATGGCGTTCGCCTTACAAGCGGCCAACATGGCCGACCCGAGTTCAATTCCTCCGCCCCTCTCGGAGAGCCCGGCAAGCTACCGAGAGTATTCGATATGCCAGACACAGTAACAACAAAGTCTCCAATGGAGACGTTACTGGGCCCGCTCGAGCAAATCGACGATCAACGGGAGGGCCTTTACTTTACTTTACTTACTTTACCATAGTCACATAGATCTTAGACTGGGATATTATTTTGCCTTTTATTCATTATTTTACTCTTTTAAGTTTCACAATATTTCTTTTATATTTCCATTTTTTCTATCTAGATACTTAAAGATGTCAATCCGTCTTGCTAATTTTGCAGACTTTGAGCTAAAAATGGTGATTTTACAGTCTTTTGAACTGTTTTATCTTTTTTTGTTATTAGTTAATTTATTTATTGAATCGCTGTGGGAAAAATTACAAAGCTTTCAAGTTTAGGTCTCAGTCATACAAATATCAATCACAATTCCCTTTACCAATACTTATTTTTCACCAGGAAGAACCCCAATAAACCCCCCCAACTCCCCCCAATGTCTGTGGGGTAGATGAATTCTAGTTAACACTCAGTCTACTTTGACTAGCTTCATTGTTTTGATAAAAGTTGCACCATTATTATTTAGACTTTACTCCCCCCCCCCCAAATCAGCCATGCTGAGAAAGCATTGTGAAATGATCTGCTTTCTACAGCTGGGTTCAAGAATTAAATGATGTCGCGCGGCCGCACAGTTTTGGATTTCTGCTATTTTATTTATTAACCCTGCAAGTATTTCTACTGAGAGTCAGATAATTAAGAGATTGGTCTCTGTGCTTCTGGGGCCGTGGCCGGGCCGGAGAGCCGCTCGTGGGGGGCAACTGGTGACCTCGGTCGGGCGTGAAGGACGGGCTGGAACGCCCCCCGTCCCATGAGGTATCCATCGCACCCCCACCCCCGGCTCAGACCTGCTCTCCACCAGGCTTCCATGTGGCCACCATCTTTCTTTCCAGAGAGGAGAGGGCGAATGGGCTGAACTGTTTTATCTTAATAATGAAGGAATTATGAAAGGAAAATTCTTTTGTCTCACATTCTTGTCCTAGATGGAGAAGGTTCTCTAGCTTTTGTATTCAATAACTATTTTGGTTTATGTGCCTCTATTACTTTTTTTTTTTCCAGATTTTGGGCCACACTGAGCAACGCTCAAGGCTTACTTCTGGCTCTGCATTCGGAAATCACTCCCAGTAGTGCTTGGGGGACCATATGGGATGCCGGCAATTGAACCCAGATTGTTTGTGTGCAAGGCAAGCGAACTACCTGCTGTGCTATGTCTCCAGCCCCAACAGTATTAAATGTTTTAACATTTAAAATGCTGGAGCCAGAGCAATAGTACAGTGGGTAGGCAAATGCCTTTCACATGCCCAACCTGGGTTCAATTCCTGGCATCCCGTATGGTCCCCTGAGCATTGCCAGGTGTGACCCAAAAAGCCATAATCAAGCTTACAAGTACCTCAGATTTTACATCTAACATACCTATGTACTCAAGTCCCTCTCCTTTTGCTCTTCGTGGCTCTGGTTATGCCGTCCTGGTGACAGTCCTAGTGTGGTTGGAACAAGAGATGCTGCGTTGTGTGCCACCCAGCCCCTTAGGGACACTGCTGCTGAAGCCAGAGCTGAATCCTGGCCATCTCCTGCCCGGTGGGCCTCGCAGACAGTGTGGCTTGTACCTCACTTTCCTCTGCAGCGCTCCCTGGTGGCAGTGCCGGGCACTGTGCTTGTCTGTAGGACGCGGTGCTCAGCCTGCACGACCCTGGCGTGACTCAGCCTTCTTTCTGCTTACTTTTAGGTGGTGGCCACGCACAGGCTTCAGGGCGCCCCTGGCCCCGCCACGTTGGGAAAGCTCCCAGCACCAAGCACTGTGGAGCCTGCCTGCCCAATGACGCCCCGCTGCTGCCTCCTCTCCTTGGTGCTGAGTGTCGTGCCAGCAGCCCTGGCCTTGCAAGATGGCGACTTGGGTCAGAGGGTGCAACAGGGAGAGAGTCGGAGCTCTTTCAACGCCTCGTTCGCCCCAAGCTTTGAAGTCTCTGTGGGGCCCCCATCGGGGGATGTTGTCATAGCCAAGGAGGGGACAAGTGTGTCCATGGAGTGCCTTCTCACAGTCGGCCACCAGGAAGACGTCCACTGGTACAACTCCAAAGGACAGCGGCTGGACGACACAGGCAGAGGTAACTGGGCTGGGGAAGTTCAGCCACTCACCTTGTTCTGTTGTTCTGGGATTTCTTTCCACTTGGTTTATGCATAACCTACAAGAAATGGCAGGGGCAGTCTCCAGGGTGAGGGCTTGAGTGACGAGGCCTGGAGTGTCTGTCCTCCAGGAGGAGCCGGGGGCCAGAGATAAAAGGGGCAGTGGGCTCTTCCTTCATAATGGCTCCGTCTCACTGTGCGCCACACAGCGCCTCTGCGCTGTCGGAGACCTGAGCTTTGGCTCCGAAAAGAATTTGAGGGTGTCGCAGTCCATCCAGGATGTTCTTGAAGTGGTCATAGATCTGCGTCTGAATGTCAGTGTGTGGGAGCACAAGCATGGTGGAGGAGCTCTGGAACCCTTCCAGCTCCTTTCTCCCCGCGTCTGGAAGTTCAGTCAGACAGGTAAGTGTGTCTGGTCTCTTGTTTAGGCCTTAAAAATTATACAAGGTCTTTTCTTGGACAGAGTTTTATTTTCTTTTGCTGCTTACTGGGCTTGTTGAGCACATTAGAGTACTAGTTCCCAGCAAGTGTTTTGTTAAAAAAATTATTTGGAGTGGGCTGGAGTGATAGCACAGTGGGTGGGGCATTTGCCTTGCATGCAGCCGACCCGTGTTCTATTCTCAGCATCCCATTTCCCCTGAGCACTACCAGGGGTCATTTCTGAGTGTGGAGCCAGGAGTAACCCCTGAACATCACCGGCTGTGACCCAATGAGAAAAATAATAAAAGGAAAAAAAAATCATTTGGAAAACTACTTTGCAATTGGTGTACCTCAAAAAGAAACCATGAGGGACCAGAATATAAAATAGGGGTGAAAATAAATAAAATAGGGGTGAAGGCCTTGCATGTGGTTGACCTGGGTTGATCCGCAGCAATTCATGGTCCCTCAAGCACCACCAGCTGCAGCCCTGGTGTCCCTCAGGCACCATCGAGTATGGCTGCCTCTTCAAGAGTCCTGCCAGTCCTCCAGAGCATCCCTGGAACACACACACACACACACACACACACACACACACACCAGAAAAGCTCCAGATTGTGACAGTTCGAAGTCTGAAGAACAGATTCTGGGGTCCTTACAGACTGCTTCCAAGAGGCAACCTGTCCTTCTGGTGGGGGAGGTCCTTACAGACTGCTTTCGAGGGGCTCCCTCTCCTTCCTGGAGAGACGGTGTTACCCCCAAGGCCTCTGGTTGCTCCTATCAGATGGAGGATGGGACAGGAGACAGATGGGGCTTCGTCTGGAAGTCTGTGTTGGACACTGCGCTGACCCTGGGGGGCTGCAGATTCTGGGCTTTAAAGGAACAGCATGGGGTGGAGCGATAGTACAGTGGGTAGGGCGTTTGCCTTGCATGCGGGCAACCCGGGTTCGATTTCCAGCATCCCATATGGTCCCCCAGCACTGCCGGGAGTAATTCCTGAGTGCAGAGCCAGGAATAACCCCTGTGCATTGCTGGGCGTGACCCAAGAAGAAAAAACTAAATAAAGGTACAGTGTGGACTGCGAACCTGCTGGGCCAGAGTCTCGGGTGGGGCCTGGGACTCTATCTCAGACATAATTTCAGGGTTCCGCATGTGGACTCCCTAATGAGGCACCGCGGTCTGGCCCACCTGTGTGACCACTGTGGATGAGCTGCACCGCGGTTTGGGTTGGGAGGGAGCCTGTGTGAGGACGGCCTCTGGCACTCAGAAGACTCAGTCATCTGTCCATGCTGCTTTCCTCGCAGCTCTGGAAAGCTGTGATCAGTGGCGTGACTTTCACGCAACAAACTTGAGGCGCGTGTTGGTCTGCGCTAAGGTTCACAAACCTTCAGGTGAGCGAGTCTGTGAGAGCTCGAGTCCAGGGCGGTGGTCGAGTGCAGCTTGGGTTCCTGAGCGCTCCCCAGGTGGAGTCTGGTGGAATCACATTTATGTCTGTGACTCTACTTCGCGCTCCTCTTACTGAAGTAGGAACCATAAAAATCTAGGTAAATTCAGGTGTTAATAATGGGTACAGGGGGCTGGAGAGATAGCACAGCGGGTAGGGCGTTTGCCTTGCACGTGGCCAACCTGGGTTCGATTCCCAGCATCCCATATGGTCCCCTAAGCACCGCCAGGAATAACTCCTGAGTACAGAGCCAGGAGTAACCCCTGTGCATCACCAGGTGTGACCCAAAAAGAAAAAAAAAGGGGTATAATCCAGGAGTAACCTCTGTACATTGCCAGGTGTGACCCAAAAAGAAAAAAAAGGGGTACAATCCAGAGTACTTGGTAAGTAATGATGTTTCCATAGTCACTCAGAAGCATAGACTCTCCAGGGGGAGAGAGACCTTGTGGGTCAGGCATGAGTAGGGCACGTGTCTCCCTCCCCGCGCCCTGTTCTTGGTGCTCATATTTTATCTGTGATTGGCCTTCAGCACTCAGATTGCACAGGCAGTGCCCCAAGTGAGAAATGTACAGAAGAGCAGGTGGAGGCACGTGGGCAGCATGTCTTGCTTTGCGTAGTCTTTAGGGGTGTGTGTGTGTGTGTGTGTGTGTGTGTGTGTGTGTGTGTACGAACACAGATGCATGTCAAGGCCCAAGCCGGAGTCTTGGATGTTTTTGCATTTGTGTTTTCTGAGAGAAGATTTCCTTTTGTACGGAAGGAAGGCGGCAAGATAGTACTTCACTCATTTCTGAGACTATCTTTTGGTTTGAACTTAAGTGACTCTGGCCCAGCAATTAAGGTACTATCATCATAAGCTTTTTTTGTTTGTTTGCTTGCTTTTTGGGTCACACCCAGCAATGCACAGAGGTTACTCCTGGCCTATGCACTCAGGAATTACTCCTGGAAGTGCTCAGGGGGCCATATGGGATGCTGGGAATCGAACATGGGTCTACTGAGTGCAAGGCAACTGCCCTACCCAGCGATAGCTGGTGCTATCACTCCAGCTCGTTTGTTTTTCTAACAAAACAAAATTAACCTCGGTTTTGCCAGTCAGTAATCAGTGCATCAAATTGGGAGATTTTATTAAAAACAAAACTTTTTCTTTAAGTTCATCATGAAAAGTAAACAAAATGAGGGAATTAAAAATTACTCCTAATTCGTCACCCTAGAAATAATCATGTTTTAGGTTTCTAAAATATATCTTTTGGTGCCAGAGCAATAGCACAGCGGGTAGGGTATTTGCCTTGCATGCAGCCGACCCAGGTTCAATCCCCGGCATCCCATATGGTCTCTCAAGCACCGCCAGGAGTAATTTCTGAGCGCCAAGCCAGGAGTAAACTCTGAGCATTTCTGTGTGTGACCCAAAAATAAATTAATTTAAAAAATATATCTTGGAGCTGGAGAGATAGCACAGCGGGTAGGGCATTTGCCTTGCACGCGGCCAACCCGGGTTCGATTCCCAGCATCCCATATGGTCCCCTGAGGACTGCCAGGAGTAACTCCTGAGTGCAGTGCCAGGAGTAACCCCTGTGCATCGCCAGGTATGAACCAAAAAGCAAAAAAAAAAATTACATATATATAGCATATGAAAATAGAATAACGTAGACATATACGTACAGTAACTGTCTCTTTTAAAAATTCACCGTTTAGAGGCCAGAGCAGTAGTGCAGCCATAGAGCCCTTGCCTTGCATGTAGCACGGGTTTAGTCTTCAGTACACCACGTGGTCCCCAATCCCTGAGTGCGGAGCCCAGAGAAAGTCCTGAGCGCTGCTGGGTGTGCTGACCCAGGTACGGCACTATGGTCCCACACCAGCTGGGTGAAGCCCTCGCCCCACCCCCCATGTCAGTCATTCAGTGCCGTGTAGACTGTCCCCTGAAAGCTTGTGTGGGTCAGTACCTAGACTCTTGTAATCATCTTTAGTGTGGGCACGAGCCCTTCCTTCCATTTGCTCAGGGCTGCTTCATCTTCTACCTGGACAGAGCAGGCTCTCCTTCCTGCCACAGCGGGCTGGTTGGCGAGCAAGGGCCGCCAAGCAGCGCTCCACGGCTTGACGGTGAGTGAGGGCCGCCAGGCAGAGCACCACAGACACTCAGCATGCTGACAGTCCCTGATGCCGTGTTTTTCTGTTTCTGTTGAATCATCAGGTGGAAAGTGGTTGGTTTCTGATAACTTCCTGAATATCACCAGTGTAGCCTTTGATGACCGCGGGCTCTATACCTGTCTCGTCACCTCCCCCACCCATGCCTCCTATTCTGTCACCCTGCGCGTGGTCTTCACCTCGGGGGACATGAGCGTCTACTACATGGTGGTCTGCCTGGTCGCCTTCACCATCACCCTCATCTTGAACGTCACCCGCCTGTGCATGATGAGCAGTCATCTTCGCAAGACCGAAAAGGCCATCAACGAGTTCTTCCGCACCGAGGGGGCTGAGAAGCTCCAGAAGGCCTTCGAGATCGCCAAGCGCATCCCCATCATCACCTCGGCCAAGACCCTGGAGCTGGCCAAAGTCACGCAGTTTAAGACCATGGAGTTTGCGCGCTATATCGAGGAGCTGGCCCGGAGTGTCCCCCTGCCGCCCCTCATCCTCAACTGCCGGGCCTTCGTGGAGGAGATGTTTGAGGCCGTGCGCATTGATGACCCAGACGACAGGGGTGAGAGGCTCAAGGACAGGCCCGCCTTGGACGCGCAAGGTGGCATCTACATCATTAGCCCGGAGGTGGGCCGCAGCGAGTCCCCCGGAGGAGACTCAGACGATGGGTCACTGAGTGAGCCTGGCCAGGAGATCGCTGTTCAGGTCTCAGTTCACCTCCAGTCAGAGACGAAGAGCCTCGAGACAGACTCTCAGGACAGCGGTCACCTCAGCCCACCTGATGACGTGGTGTCCGTGGAGCCAGGCTTCCCCTGCAGAGACGCCACCTGTACCTCCTGCCCGCTTTGAGGCAGCTCTCCAGCGGCAAACTGGCTGTGTGCAGGAAGTGACAGCTTCGACCATTGTGACTGTCTTCTCTCCCCTTGCTCCTCTGAAGTGCATCCGTCGGAGGGTGAATGTTGCCAAAGTAGCATCAGAATCAGCCTCTTTCCTCTCTGGCGTTTCCTAGTCATTTCCCTCCAGACAGCCCTGGCAACTCGCGCTGAGATTCACAGGCCTCCAGAGCCCCAGCCATGAGAGCGTTGGTGACTGCTTTCCCATCCCCTTCTTCCGGGTAGCTCTCCTGCTCTCTCTGAGGCCTCGTCCTTTCTAGTCCTAAAATGTCCTTTCTCAGCGTCAGCACCAATGGGTAAGCCCTCCCAGGGCTCTTGTCTCCCACGTTAGGCCCACCTGAGATGCCCCGGAGCCGGGTGCCACACACTGGCAGCACACAGCCGTGTCCAGGCGCCTGCTCCGACCAGCCTGTGCTCTGTCATACTGCAACACGCGGGGGCTGGTGCTCGTTTGTCAGCTACTTTTTGTTCCCATTTTCAGACTGGGTGGAGGAGACCACTGAGCTCCCGAGCCGGCGGTGATTTCCAGCCATTTGTTGCAAAGGACCTTTTCCGTGCGTCCATCAGGTCATCCGGGTCTGGGAGAGCCTGGGCTTTGGTGTCTCTGTGAATAGGATTTCTCCAGCTCTGGGCCCCTCTAGAGAGTGCTTGTTGGAGACCTGCCGGGCCGGGCTGCCCATTCGCATGTTCCCTCCTGGGCTGGGCTGTGGTATTGGGATGTTTGGTTTTCCTAGTGTCCGCAGTGGTGGCGTGCCTGCTCTGTGCAGGGGCACACACACGCCACAAAGGACTCGGCCCTCCATAGAGAGAGAAGTCGCACATGGGGTCACCCTCCCCAGGAGCAATCTCTGTCGCCTTTCCAAGCACCGGCCACCGGGCTGCATTGGCTGCTTCGCCTTCTGTCATGTCATTGCACTCGCGGTCAGTGTGGGAGACGCTCAGAGAAGGGTCTGTCAGGATTTGAATTCCAGGTTTCACATAGAGGAAAACAAGAAATGAAAAGTGTTGCCTGGAAGAACCCGGGCCTGCTTCATTCCAGCTTCTCAAAAGCCGATTGCGGGAGAGACATGAACAAGCCAGTGTGCAGCTTTGTCAGAGGCCACACGGGGAGAGACGATGTTGCTGCTCCAGAGCCAAGCAGAAGCTGCCCATCATTTTGCCGGGGCTGGCCTCGATGCCTAGGCTGCGTCTCTGTAAAGGAAGTGTTTTGTACCTGGGCTAGGGAGCAAGGGCTCTTGAACATGGAGAATTATTACAGATCCCAGAACACTTTTCTGAAACAGGATGTTTCTGTTAAAAAGTTAAGTCTTGGGACCAGAGCGATAGCACAGTGGGGAGGGTGTTTACCTTGCACGTGGCCGACCCAGGCTTAATCCCCGGCATCCCATATGGTCCCTCTAGCACCTGAGTAATTCCTGAGTGCAGAACCAGGAGTAACCTCTGAGCATCGCTGAGTGTGACCCAAAAAGCAAAAAAAGAATAGTGAAAAGTTCAGTCTTCAGTTGCCTTCCTGAGGCCCGTGCCTGAGTACCAGTGGGAGAGGCGTTCTTCAGACACACCGAGGGCTGCTCCACCTGTGCTCACATGGGCGCCCGGGGCCCCCGGTGCACACAGTGACCAGCCAAAATTCCAGGAAAAGCCTGTCAGAAGGTGGGAGGACACTGCAATAAATATGCAAATAATAAAGGCGATCCTGGATAGTTAGTTTGAAAACATGACAACAACTTAATTTGGTGTTCAAGTAACTGGTTTACTTGGAGTACTCCAGACTGCTGTGCCATTGAGAAAGAATTAAAGTAGGTCAAAATTTCATCAGCATTTGTGTTACTTTTTCTGTAGTTAGTTTTCAAGAGAAATAAAACCATACTTACTAATATTTTCTTCAATGTAATATTTTTCATACAATCATGATATCTTTTTATAGACTCCTTAGCCTTTGGAACTTGAAGTCTCTTGACTATAACTGTCATTTAATATTCTTTTGTCAAGAGTTTCATGGTGAGAGAAAATCTTTTTATTTAACCAAATGTATTTTATGTAATTGGGTCATCTATTTGTACATTTTGTATTGTGATTTAATGAACTTTACTGTCCACTTGAAATACTGTCTTTGTGAAATAAATCTATCAAGAGCTACACATGGGAACATTTTTACAGATTTCTTGGCAGCTGAACCAGACCGACCATCATCAGCTTTTGAGCCGACTCTGTCCTCACGAGGCCTCTGCTGGGGACTTGAAACCTCTGCTTGGGTTCTGTGTGCAGGAGATTCATTTCCCCTCTGTTCCACAGCCGGGACAGCTGTGGGCTAGCTGCCCGAATTGCTTGTGGGGCGCTCCTGGTTCCCAGCCCCACGCAGCACGTCAGTATAAGCTCTGCCTGCCTCCGTCCACTGGTGTCATGGACCCCTGGGTCCAGGTGCTGCCGAGGGGGCCCGGGCCCATTCCCGGGGATACTCAGACCCCAAGCCATTCTGGTGCTCAGTGACCTCCAGGGCCACTCCCGACGGTGCCCAGAAAGCCACGTGGTGCCAGGGTGCAGCTGCCCTGCCTGACCCCCCACCCTCGCCCATCCTTGCTGTGCTGGTCTGCAGAGTCCAGCCAGCAGGCGCTCACCTTGGCCCCCACGCCCCAAGCCTCCCCCTCTCTGGCCCTGGCGGCCTCCCACAGATGCCAAGGTTCTCAGCCCATTTCACAGGCCTGATGAGAAGGGCAGGGTGTCCGGAAGGTTCTCGTTGTGATGAGCCCAGTGTCATTCTGATCTCATTAAAGGTGTACTGAGTCTGAGCTTGCTTTTGTCTGAAGTCTGTCTATCTGTAAAGACCCATTTTCATGGGTGGAGTTGTATAATTTCTTTTTTTTTTTTCTTTTTGGGTCACACCCGGCGATGCACAGGGGTTACTCCTGGCTTTTCACTCAGGAATTACTCCTGGCGGTGCTTGGGAAACCATAAGGGAATCAAACCCGGGTCAGCTGAGTGCAAGGCAAATGGAAACTGAGGAAGAAACTACCTGCCATGCTATCACTCCTGCCCCCCGGAGATGTATGATTTCAAGCAGGAGTGGGCTAGAATTCAGCTTGGACTCCAACGTCCCACTTTTTTTTTTCGCGGGGGCACACCCAGTGATGCTCAGGACTTACTCCTAGCTCTCCTGATTCTCAGAAATCATTCCTGGTGGGGCTCAGGAGAACATGTGAGTCGCCCTCCCCTATCACTCTGGCCCCCCACTTCCCTTTCATAAATACCTCCCAAGTGTTCTTGTGTTTTTTGTGCTGGGCCTCCTGCTCACAGAATGTCCCTGCTGGGCCTGTGCTGTGGTTTCTGCTTCCTGCCAGTGAGAGCCCAAGCAAAAGTCTTGTGCTCTCCGAGCGTTGGGAGCAGAAGCTCTGGGGAGCTGCCGAGGGGAGGAGGACCCGATGCCACAGATGGATGCCATACGCTCATGGCGGCCTCACTGGACTCAAGCAGGACCAGATGGATCAGCTGTGTCCCATACGACTCAGACAAGGAGCCGGCACCCTGCTCACTGGGGAGGGCAGGAACCGAGAGCCCAGGTGCTGGCTGTGGGTTTGCACACTTGGGCCAAACTTGGACTCCATCCAGATCTGTTCAGCACATGCCCTGGCAACCCAGCCAAGTGTGAGGAAGTTTCTTCCTCAGTTTCCATTCAGAGGCAGCAAGGCAGTTGCAGCCTGATGCTGGCTCCAGGTGCTCCCGCCCGCCTGTTGCCTGTCATCTGTGCCGAGCCCTCTTCCACTGAACCCTGCTCAATGAAAAATGACGCCACCCCAGGCCAGAGGGCTGTAAACCAACACAGGAGCCCAACAGCAGCATCCGTTTCAAACCCACTTTCCGGGTGTTCTTTTATGACACGTGTGCAGTTGTAACAGTTGACAAAGCGAGGCTCCAGGATGGAATGTGGCTGGCGAGGGTCTGGGGAAGTCCATCCTGTGGATGTGGTCACTCTAGGTGGTTCTAGGGAGGGGAGAATGAGACTGGGGGATGCTTGGCCGGGTGGGGCACGACTGTAGGCGACCTGTCCTGCGGGGACCTTGGTGCTCTGTTTGCCGCAGCCGGTGGAGCTCAGGCCTCCCTCTGTCCCACCCGAAGGCTGTGGAACCCAGCCTGCACAGAGCTCAGCATCCCAGCCCTGGGAAGGCAGGACAGGGAGCAGGCGGGTCCCACGGAGGCTGCTAACACTGGGCAGGAAGGGGGCAGGGCCTGCACCTTTGGGTCCCAGAAGGCAGGAGCTCAGCTGCAGCCCCCGCTGCCAGCAGGTGCCACGAGGAAGTGTGGGCGCCCCGAAATGTTCTTGCACGATTCAGAAAGGACAAAGGACGGAAGCTGTGGACAGCATGCGGCCAGGCCACCCTCTCTGGGACTAGTGTCGGAACCTGTGCTGCCCTGCACGTTTGCAAAATGAATTGCTTGAAGACACCCGCGCACATGGGCAGAGTAGGGTCAGGCTTACGGTAAGGTCAGCTCAGATGGTTGGGGACTTCTAGGCCCCCAAACCCCCGGAAGGATTGGGGGCCGGCTGTCCACTTGCTAATTGACCAGTGATTTCGGTCCGTCAGGCCTCTGTAATGGGGCCTCCATAGAAACCTAAAAAGCAGGGGTCCAGATTACCTTGATCATGGGGGGGGGGTGCACATGGCTGGCCAAGGCAAGCAAGTCCCCTTCTTTCCCCGTTCCTGGCAATCGAGTGAGTAAAGGGGTTACTGGATTCTGGGTGCTGCTCTGTGGTGCCTGGGGAGGGAAGGCTATGGGGACCGCAGTTCTGGTCACGGGCAGGCCACCAGCATGGCTCACCTTTACCGGAGACTAGGAGACCTGCGGCAACGGCTCTGTTCTTGGAGCCCAACTGACTGTCCATGTGGGAGAACCTCCACGTACACTTGCGGTGGCCTCGGGTCAGGGAACCCTTACACACACACACACACACACACACACACACACACACACACGTATTTCCAAGGCCACACTGAGGGCCGCAAACATCAGAGAAACCTCTCCTGGGAGCATAGTGTGGACAGAGCAGTGGCCAAGCTCCCCGCTGACCACCAGCTCAGCCCACTGCAGACCCCAGAGCAGGCCGCCCATTGAGGGCGACAGTCCTGAGTTCGTTCTTGACTCGCTCCGAGAGGCATGTCTTAGGAGGCTGGAAGCACCTTTCTGGGAGGTTCCTCTCTCCACAGACCAGGCTGCCTGTCTGTCCAGCGCTGTGTGTCTTCTGAAGCTACAGCCCGAAGGAATTAAGCTCTTTCAGAGCCCCAGAAATCCCAGTCACATCACTGGAACCTGTTGATTAGGAAAATGCCTCTGTGCGTTCACAGATGCCTCAAGGCAGTGGAGGTTCCCAGGAGCTAGGGACTCTGCCCTACTCCCTGCTCAGGGACCACAGGAAAGCAGGGGTCAGTGGGAAGAACTCCCCGCAGGCACGTTTCTCCTCCTAAACCGCAGGCCCCCATGAGCCCAGCCCTGAGGCTCTCCTGCTCGGCTGAGCTCTGGGCCCCATGCACATCTCAGACTCAGCCTGCCCAGCCTCTTCCAGCCCGGGTCTGTGGCATGTCCACGGTCTCAGGAGCAAAGGGCACGGCCTTGGGCACCCAGCTCAGCCCTGGGCAGTGAGCTGGGAGGCGAGCCCTCCAGGGTGGGGGACCCGGCAGCCTGAGACCACTGCCCGTAGAGGAGTCCGTGCCCCCAGCTCAGTGGCGTCCCATGGAGCCTGGGAGGGGAACTGTGGCCGCTGCCAAGGTCTGCTTGGTGATGATGATGGGGAGCAGGAGTAAACTAGCTGCTCATGGAGCAGACCACATCTAAGCAGAGGGGAGATGGTTGCCAGCCCCGCGACTCAGTCCCCAGCCTTGCCCCAGGCTCCCCTCGTGTTCTCTGCACGTTAGGCTCTCCCAGCCGCTCAGGGAGCAAGCGGGGAGGCGGCACCCTGCATCGGACACCTTCTCTGGAGCCCCTTCCTGTGGGGGAGAGGCTGCGCAGTGGATATCCCCGGGGTGTGGCCTCAGCCTCCAGCACCACTTTCAGTAGGCCTGCTAAGGGCTGGCCTGCAGGGGGCGCTGAGTAACTTTCCCTCCAGAAAGCGGGCGGGGCCTTGAAAGTGTGGGGAATCTGACTAGCACCCTGCGCTCACCCACCCAGAGGTAGCACCCCTGTGATGGGCGTGCACCCAGTTGCGTCCTCCCCACTGGGCGCCTCTGGCCAGCCTCAGAATCAGGGTCCGAGAAAGCCTTTATCTGTGCCCTGGTGATGACCGGGCACAGAGGTGCCCCTTTCCTGGGCACCTGCCCTTCTCCGTGTGTCCTTGGGTGTCTGCATCTGAGTGGTGCTTCGGTTTCTCTTCTCCAGAGGGCTCAGGATTGGTGTGTGTCAAGGGATGAGGCCCTCATACCCCTGGGCTACTTCAGGGTGAGGAAAGAGGAAATCTTTTCCTAAGTTTTATTATTACTTCTCATGGCCCGGTCTCCTTACCTGTCTGCCTACAGCAGGGGTCTATGTGCGTGGGGGTCGCATTCAGACCATGGTAGTGCTGGATGGTCTTTCTGTTTGTTTTTGTTTGGGGGGGCCGGGCGACACACCCAGCAATGCTCGGGGCTTACTCCTGGCTTGGCACTCAGAGATCACTCCTGACGGGATTCAAGGGACCAAATGGGATTCCAGGAATCAAACCCTGGTCAGCCCTGTGCAAGGTCAGCACCCTCCATGCTGTACTATCATTCCAGTCCCTGGATGGTTGTTTTTATCAATTGCTGTGTTTATCATCTTGCTGCCCTACTGAGAACACTGTGAAAATAAGGCTTTATCTCTTTCCATCCCCCTTCTGTCCCCAGCACCCCAAACTCGGCTGGGCACCAAGTTGCTGGCTGTATCCTACGTGGGCAGAGACTATTGTCTGAACTCTTGATTCTGTAGTGGCAACCCCCCCTGCCCGGAGATGGAAGATAATACACTGTCTCCTTGGAACACAGTCTCCTTGGAACACGGGGAAGTGGCTAAGATGAATGCCGGAGGCTCTCCCACTGATTATGAGGGAAACACCTTGGGCTTGAAGTGGCCAAGGGAGCTAATGCTGTGAGGCCTTCTTTCGTTTCCTGGCCACGGGCCTCCCTGGCATGGAGCAAGG